TCTCTCTCTCTCTCTCTCTCTCTCTCTCTCTCTCTCTCTCTCTCTCTCTGTTTCCTGGCTGCCATGAGATGAGAAACTTTCCTCCACCCACACCTTTCCATTTCTGCCTTGGAGCCAGCTGACTGTAGATTAAACTGTGAGCTAACATAGACCTCTCCTCCTTTAAATTGTCCAACATGGAGAAAGTGACTAAGAAAGACAATATTGGTCCCCTTCTTACCCTGCTGCTGCAACTTCTTGTTGTTCCAGTTTCTGAAAGACATAAGAAATTTGAACTTCATCTTCTAGCCAGGGAGAAGTAGTTGACTCTCTGGAAAGGGAGAACTGGAAGGGCTTGTCCTAATATTTGCATTCTATAGGAAAACACAACACATTGCCTAATATTTAGTCATGGGTCAGGACGGATGTCATCCCCATTCTGCCTGTATGGATAACCCATGGGAATGAGTTCGTCACTTACCTCTTTTCGAACAAGTCCTTGAAGATGAAAGCCCAAGTCCAGGAAGGTTAGCCACCTAAGAGAAGTCATCATCATCATAGGCCGTAGGGCCCATCCTTTCCTAAAGCGAAAGCCATAGGCACCCACGTTAGAATGCACTAGATAAGAATATTGAGGAGGGTCTTTCTTGTTTGGTGCACCATAAAAAAATCTTTAAAATTTAGCTCAGTGGTTCCAATGCCTGCCTCGCTAGCTCAAGGACCCGAGTTTGATATCCAGTACCAAGAAAAAAAAATATTTAGGATATTCAGGTGGAGGATGCAAATTGATCAATGCATATAAATGAGTTAGGAAGAGGTAACACGCCTCCTTCCTGTCCTTATTCCTCTAGCTACATTAAAGGACTACCTGAAAGAGGCTGAAGGATGGCATATTTCTCTATCAGGATTCCTAAACTAATATTCAAAGCCCTAAAGTGGCTAAAGCAGTATCAATCACAGCAATAGATGTTCTTTTGAAATTTCCCACATGAAAGAATTTATAAAAACACTAAGCCTTGAATGAATATGATTCACTCTTCTCTCCTGTGCCATTAGCAATCTAGCTACTAGGCAAGATATCCTCCATCACTGGGATCCCACAGTTGGAGAAGAGGTCTGAGTCCCGTAGCACGAATGGGTCAGCGATAGAACAGAAGCACAGCTACTTCAGTTACCTCCTGGCTGCTACTCCCTCCAATATGAGTTCCATATCCATTCCAGCAGACAAATCTCTGCACTGCATAGGATTCCTCTCTGGGAAGAATCCTTCTCCACCAGTGCAGTGCTAGGAAACAAGGAGAGGAGGAGACGATAATGAGAGATGTGCTGGTGAGCAGGAAGAGAGGAAATGGCCAAAGCCAGTGGACCCTTGTGTCTCTTCAAAATTCCCATTGGTGATATTAATCTCTGACACTCATGAGAACGCCTGCTCCTTTAGCTTTATTGACATCATCGTCCTCATATGACTTTCCTTCAATTTTTCTGAACATTCATTCTCAGTCCTGGCTGGACTCTTCCAGAGTTCCTTAAGTGCTGTTTCTCATAAGGGGACACATCTCCCTCTCCCTTAAAGATTGTTGGACCCTCTTTGGATTATACCATATGCATGAAAACTAAAAGGCAGTTTGCTGCTCTCTCAACATCACGCACTCTCTGAAACAATAATTTTGAACACACTGTTCACTATTCATAATTTACTGATGGCCCCGGATTTCTATCTCCAGTCTAGATGTGTCTTAGGCTGAAGACCTCACACAAGCACCACCTGGATCTCTACACAGGTGCTTGTCATATATGGATATGACAAAAGATGAATTAATTATTGCCATGCATCATTTGAAGGTTGGGATGCAGTCTTAGAAATGCATGGATGGACATTTTTATCATTGTAACAACATTGTGGAGTGTGTGGACACAGACCTCAATGACTCCATCAACGTGAGGGGATATGATAGCTTGGATCCAATCTCATAGGTGGAGTCCTTCAGTGACCAAACTACTGTTACGTAGCAGCGTCTGACTGTGTATCCCTCACTGACCCAAACCTGTTTATATCCAGATGTCCTGACTTAATAAACACTCACCCAAATGAAAACCATATTGTTCTAGGCTCCTCATCCTATTCTCTGCATTTATTGCTCATGGGTTTAAAATCTTTGGACTTCATAATCACACTCCAATCAGCCCAGAGGGTGCTTCAGGTCTTTATCCAGACTATTGAAACTACCTCAGTAGTGGCCTCATTGTCCTTAATATCCCTCCAAGAAAATCTACCCTCACTGGGCTGCCAGAACAATCCTTATACACACAAGATGATCATCAAGTCAATCTGCCCTTTAAAATGCTTTAATGGCTCCCATATCCTATAGCATAAAGTTTAATCACTGGTGTGATATAAAAGTCTCTTCTTGATGCAGCTATTGTGATTTCCAGCATCAACTTCTGTCTCTAACCCACATACACCCCTTGCACCCAAATGCAAAACAGCTTGCTGAAACACTGATGATTGTGAATATGCTATTCACTCCTTCTGTACTGCACCAATGTCTCCTCACCTTCTACCCATCTCTCAAAACTCAGTCAGAAATGACCTTTCCTGTAGTCATTGCCCTGACAACACCAGCAGTTATGTGCTCTTCTAGCCCCTAGCTGGGCTTTGTTATGTTATGTTTGTTTTGTTTTATTTGTGCTGCTGGGAATTAAATCCAGGGCCTCACACCTGCCAGGCAAGCACTCTGCCGCTGAACTACCTTTAAGCCCCCTTGTTTATATTTCTGTTATACCTCAGACACATTTGATAGTAATTACAGATTTGAGTGAATGTCCTAGTAGATGCTCCACAAGGAGTACACAACCTTTGTACTGCCTGTGCAGTACAAGGTAGATGCTCCTTTCAAGCTTTTCTGGGGAATGAAGATCACATGTGTAGACTACATCACACACTCTGCAGGCCATGGAAGGGCCACGGAGGTTGTCACAAGAGAACTATCCCTTTGGAGCTCCCAAAGTCAACATTCCCCATTATGACCCCAGGGTCCTCCTTGATGGTGAAGCTGCCTCATGCTGATGAGGAAAAGGGGTAAGTTTATGGCTGAGTAATTAAAGAAAATAAGATCTTTGGGTCACCTGCCAGCAGCTCAGGACCTTTTTCTCAGACTGTTCATGTGAGGACTGTTGGGTCCCGGTGAACAAGCTTAGTATGACAACTCCCACTCTTCACTACCAAAGGCTCCTCCTCTTCCATCCTTTAGAGACTAGAAAAAATAGCAGGAGCCTAATGATTTCTACACCAATGAGACATCAGGCGCCAGCGGAGTATGCCTCCCCTAAAATTCAGTCTCCATGGTGACCTCTCACCAAAGAAATTACCTGTGGTTGAGAGGGTGGCCTGAGTGAGGTCCACAAGATGATGTCTAGGAACCTCAAGCAGCCACTCAACAGAGTTTGCATCTATGCAGCCCTTCAGAAGCCCAGGAGGGCCAAGTTTTACTATTAAAGCTAAATCTCAGGTGTAAAACATCAAAGTCTAGTTTCTCAACCACTCTAGCTCCAGACAACTGAGTGTTTCTTCCCAAAGGCAATATGTGTTCAAAGTTTCGACATAGATTTTGGTCCTCAGTATTACAATTTGTCTGTACCTCAACACAAGGTCTAGCACTCTGGTCCCAGAAAACACAGGAAGGAGCAAGGGAATGTGACAGTCCCACACACAGACATCCACATTGCTACCACAAAGACACACACACACTGACAAAGTTAGCCTCCCTCTCAGGCCCCTTTGGTACACACAAAGACTCCCATGCTCAGTGTTACATCCAGTGACCTTTACTCCAGGACATAAGGCATGGGCTGCTCTCTCATTATTAAATACTCTGAAGTAGACAAATCCTGCAGTGAATTCATCTGAAACCAAGAGGCAGAAAATATCGAGAAGATAGAGTTAGCATCCTTTGGGTCAGCACAAAGACTCTATCTCAGGCTGAGGCTCCAGCCCAGCACTTTACCTGTGCACGTGGAGCTCAGCACCACTGGGTCCTCTAGGACCAACCCTGGTCAAGAAGGACCTTTCTGTCATTGCAAAGCCCAAAAGCTGGAACTGAAGGAGGGTTCCTGGTCTACCAGAGATTTGTACAGAGAAGTTCAACAGTGCAGAAAGATCACCACCAAACATCATCAGGGCTTGTTAATGCAGGTGACAGGTACACTCAAGCTGTCTTCTCTTTTTTTTAACTCTTTTTCTATTTGGGGGGAGTTGGTAGTGGGGACCAAACCCAGGGCTTGGTACAGCATACTAGGTAAGTGCTCTCAACCTGAGGCACCGCCACTGCCCCCTTCAAACTTTTCTAGTTCTCTTTTATTTTAAAACCTTAGAGTTGAAATGTACATAAAAATAACTCAATTTTATAACAGAGACTCAGCCTCTATGAAGGATATGCTGTCGAATTTAGATTCAAGTTATACAAATGAATAGTTACCCTTCACAATAAAAATAAAACTGTTCCACGATTGTGGTTCTGCCCTGTGCACATGAACGTAGCCTGCTTCTAACAACTTCCTGATGGAGTGGTAATGGGTTTGCTGGGAGTAGGACGGGGAGCCAAATTTTCCTAATTGAAATGCCAACTCTGCTGTCTGTGCCCTTTGATCTGAGCTATGTCATCAATCCCTCAGTGCCTGATTCCTAACTTCTACCAATGAGTTAATATTAGTTCAGTCCTCAAAGGAAGTTATGTAGATTAAATAAGACAATACACATAGCATTCATAGAAGAGAACCAAGCTGCAGTAAATGACATATAGCTGCTACCTATGGTAAACAAGTTTATCATATTTCTTACAGATATTACAGATGAATATTGAAGACTTACTCCAAACCCTGGGTGAATAATACAGTGCTGCCTTTTGGGAATCACCAAAATTATAGACCACAGGTGTCACAGGGCCATTGTCAGTCCTTCACTTTCCTGCTGCATATTTCACTGGGTATTTCTACAAGAAAAAAAGACATCAGTGAATGGGGCCAAATAGCTCAGGCACTCACAGGGATGCTACAATTCATACAGGGGAAGACAGTCTTCTCTCCATAACTGAGACTACTTCAAAACTAGTCAACATGAGAATTTTTACCTTTGGCTCTGTTTCTCAAAAAAAACTTTGCAAATCCCTCTCTCTCTCTCTCTCTCTCTCTCTCTCTCTCTCTCTCTCTCTCTCTCTCCCTTCCTCACTCCTTCCCCATCATCTCTCTCTCCCTCCCTCCTTTCTCTCTTCTCTGCTATGTTCCTCTCTCACTCTCTTTTCTTCCTTCTCCAAATCTTATATCTCATAAGTCTCTTTCCTTCTGGCTCAAGATTTCTGAGAAGTGGATGAATCCTTCTGAAAATTAGGTTGTAAGGAATATGAAAGAGAGAAAATTCTTCAGTCCATCCTCAAGCACCTGCTGCTCTTCAGACCCAAGAAAGTCACCCAGCCAGCATCCTGTGGACCTGGTAGAGGCCAAACAGATTGTGTCCCAACCTCTGGAAGAAGCCAGTTTCAGTGCGGTACCTCTGCAGGGACCTATTCTTCCAGTTCTCCATGGGGCTATTCTTGGACACATGCCAGATGCCCAGGTCCAGGGCCTGGATGTCATAGTAGCCAGGGTTCCGGAAAGCAACCAACACTGAGCCTGACCAGACCAGGGGACCCCATTAGAAAGAAAGACACACACATGAAGTACTTGCATGAGCTGACAGTTGTGTTTCAAGTGAATAGATGTTCAGGTGGGTTCAGACACTCCCATTTTCAGCAGATAATGTTTTCCCCCACCACCCAGATGCCCCATTTTTCTTGGGCTTTGTTAGAAGCAAGATGGAACTCAACACATATATTTCTCTCATCCACATCCCACATTCCAAGCCTCCCTCCTGCATGTCTTGCCACACTCCAGCTCTCACACTTCCTGCAAAGCTGGCGAATGGCACCAACTTTGTAATCACCACTTATGCCCGCCTCTGCAGACCCAAAGTTGTTAGAGTTGGCCCAGCTGCCCTCAGGATAGTCTTTTCTGTTGCCTTGCTGACTGGTCTACCAATCTCCCACCATGCATTTCCCATGCATGTTGTTCTCATGCACACTGGCCACCAGGGTCCAGCCTCTACCCGCAGTGGTGATGTCACAGAAGGTCCGGTAGATGACACCATTGGTGCAAAGAAAATACAGGCCAGCTGTAATAAGAAGCAGCCAGGGCCAACCTGTCTGAGAATTCATGGCCTATCTCAGCCCCACAACCAGAACAGCTCTAGGGACCAGAAATACCGCCCCAACGCCTCACTTGAGCCCTGTCATTTTGTGTTCTTAGGACCACTAGAATCTCCTGCGTTCAGATGACCATACCCCTGTGAGTGAAACAAAACAAAATTATCCAAACTCCCAGCAACTCTCCTCATAAAGTTAAGCATAGATTTTTCATGATTCATCAATTCCACTCCAGATATATACCCCAAAAATTGAAGTCTGAACTCCAACTGATATTTGCACACTAATGTTCTTTGCATCATTAATCACAATATGCAAAAGGTAGAAACTACTGAACTATTATTCCTCAACATGTGAATGCAGAAACAAAACATTGTATGAACATGTTTATCCAGTGTATATTAAATGTGTACTGTAATATACTGATAAATGTACACAAATACGAGTGAACAAGAATGAATTATCCATGCTACAACAGTTTGCAGTTTGTCAATATTATTTTAAGAAAATAAGCATAACACAAAAGAATAAATAATTTATAATTTTACTTATATGATGTAACGAGAATAGAGAAATTTATCCAGACCATAAGTAGAACAGTAGGGAAAAGGAGAACATGAATCTATTGCTTAATGGCTAGAGTCTCAATCTGAGGTCACAAAATTTTTCTGGGGGCAAACTGGTGGTGGTGGCATAACAGTGTGAAAGTAATTTATGTTGCCAAAATGTATGTTCAAAACTAATTGCAAACTTTACCCAATGTGTAATATATGTACATTGTACCATCACTTTCTATAAAAATAGAATTAAATGAAAACCTCCCAGAGACAAAGCTCCATGCTTGGCTGGACTGTCTTATATTCTGTATCACTCACCATGTGTATTATGGGACCTCTGCTTGAATTCATTGCAGCTTTGGGGCAGACATGGAGACAACAGCTCCATTCCTTCTGATCAGTATTGGCCACAGAAAATGCAGAATCTCATTCTCACTGCTGGTTTGAAATAAAACTCAGCCTCCTCTTGTCACGAATACCAAACATTCCTCTACTGCGCCAGGGCCTTGCTGCCTTTGTTGAAAGGCCCTCAGATGCACTGTCATCTCCATTCAGCCCATGTGGCCAGCATCTAGCCCAGACCTAATACGGCCTTCCCCACATCCTCATGCTTGTGCTAGGCCCTGCCCTGGGCACTGGGGATTCAAAGGAATTAAACATTGTACCAAACAAAGAAGGAGAAAGAGAACGGAGGAGGAGCAGGAAAAAAGAAGAAGAAGGAGAAGAAGGAGAAGAGGAGGAAGAGGAGGAAGAAGAGGAAGAAGAGGAAGAAGAGGAAGAAGAGGAAGAAGAAGAAGAGGAAGAAGAAGAGGGGAAGGGGGAGGGGGAGGAAGAGGAAGAAGATGATGAAGAAGAACAAGAACAAGAAGAAGAAGAAGAGGAAGAGGAAGAAGAGGAGGAAGAAGAAGAAGGAGGAGGAGGAGGAGGAGGAAGGCGCTACCCCTAGTGTGTTTCCAAAACATCTACAGAAAAGTGCACTGAGAGGGATGAAACAGAAATTCAGGAGAACAAAAGACTCAGATGAGAATGGAGAATGGAGAGGCCTGACTGAAGGCTGGGGATTGTTGAGCATAGGACGTCTCAGTCACAGAAGTCTACACAAATGACACCTTAAGCTTATTCTGAGAGAATAAACATCCTATGGTTCATCGTAGGAAGAAAGAAAAAAGAATTCAGAGAAGGGGAACAACCTGTCCAAAGCCTAGAGAAAACAATAAAGCAAAAGAAGTTCACCATTAAAAGAACTATAGGTAGGTTAACATGGCTGAAAGAGACAGTAAAAGAAGACGGCACAGACAGTGGCCAAGAAACTAATACAGCCATAAAATGAAGAATCCTTTTTTTTTTTTTTTTTGAGACAGGGTCTCACTATGTAGTTGAGACTGACCTGGAACTCACTATGTAGCCCAGGCTGGTCTTGAACTCACAGCGATTCTTCTGCCTCAGCCTGCTGAGTGCTGGGATTACAGGTGTGCACTACCACACCTGGCTTTTTAGGAATCTTGAATACTGGTCTTCACTGGAATATAAACCAGAAGGAAGGACACAGGAGAGAAAAAGTTTTGTGGTCAGAGGCAATCAGCTATAAACTGCTCAATGCTTACAATCAATTGTCCTTGTAAGGAAGTCCAACATGCCTGAACCTTGCTTACCCTGTTCCTAAAATGCAGATAATAAATATTATTATTGAAGAACATGTAAGAAAATATTAGAAAAAATATTTTCACTGTCAAAAATAAATAATAATAAAGAAAAATACTGAAAAGCCTTTTTTTCTTGTTGGAGAGAGGAGGACTAAGAAGGAAACATTCTCTGGATCCAAAGTAGACCATGAGATTGCCATACAAGCCCCAAGATCAAGGCCATGGGAGTGAGGATGGCTGGGAGGACACAGTTCTTTCCAGAGACCCTTCAAGGTCAAAGTGAGGCTCAAAGCCTGAACCAAGGTCCAGCCTTAGGAGCACCCTCTCTGCTACAGGTCAGATCCCTCAGTACCTCAGAAATCAGATCTCAGCCTACATCCCAGGGGACCTCAGTACATCTCAAAGATGTCATCTTCCCAGGAGAGTCTCAGGTCCTGGGAGCAACTCAAGAAAACTACTTGTTTTCATCCAAAACTAAGGATGAGCTGGGGAGCCTGGGCTCCTGGAAGGAGACTCACCTGAACTGCACTTTTGGGCAGCCACCATGAGGAAGAGCAGGAAGCCAGGTTGGACCATTGCCACCTAAAGAAAAGCAAGATGAGAGTCACTATTTAACCATCCTTCCCCCACATCCTTGTCACTACTGCACTCCTATCTAGTCCCACACAGACGGAAGGATCCTTGCCTCTTTTCTTTTTAATTCCACACATCTGGGACCTAAACTGAACTGAAGCGAAATTAGTGTTTCCCAACTCACTTCTTCCCTCCACACAAGGCCCGGAGCTGAGGGTGGCCAGCTGAGTAGGGTCTGTGTGATTCCTCTACAGAGACACCTGACCAGGACCAGGGCACCGAGCCTTTTATGGAGAAATCCCAGAGGGCACTGCCCAGACCTCCAGCCTCGCCTCCCCTGGCGAGATGCCCAATCAAGGTGAGGCTTCTGGTCTTTTTGCAGAAGGTTCTTTATTGATAATTCTTTCACTGGCATCCAAGGACAACTCTAAAAGGTCATTTAGTAGCATTGTTTGCAGATTTGGGGATTCCATGGGCCTACTTCCCAAAATATAAAAGTGCGAAACAGATTAGCAGTAACAAGTGTTGATGTGAATTTTAGGATTTTTGTTCGAGTCTTTCCTGTAAAGTACAACTGTTTTTCTAAAATTAAACATATACCACTGTCAGCACCATTTCAAAAAAAAAATACAACAACATAGGAAAAGGATCATTTCAGAAAACTCTAAATCTTTAGCTTGAATAAATTAAATTCAATACCATGACTTTATCTTTAATTTGCTCACTTTATCACAAATTACTGAAATTTTAATAATGACTGCTGGCATTTTAGGAATAAAGCTGATTCCCCACCTCTTTCTCATTGAATACCCTTCCTCAGTTCTCAATCCCACTCTGCTCAGCTATCCTAGAACTGGTCAGCTCCCCTCAGTGACACCACATACCCAATACACCACTTTATTATAGCACGGACAATATGGAGATCCTTTGGAAAAAATTGTGACTTCATGATTATTTTCTGTCTTGCTAGGTTCCATGTGACCCAGCTATCCCTCTGCTGGGTGTCCTCCTAAAAGAATTAAAATAATCATACAACAGTGATACATGGGCACCCATGTTTATAGTGGCACAGTTTGTAATAGTTAAAACTTGGAAACAATCCAAATGCCCATCAACTGGAGACTGGATAAAGAAGATGTGTTTTGTTCTATAAAATGGACTCAGCCATAAAGAATGAGAAACTAGAGATATTCATAGCTAAATGGATGCACATTGAAGCTATACTCAAGTGAAATAAATAGGACACACTTGAGTAAATACCAAATAGTTTCTCTGGTGTGAAAGGCTAAAAGTGTAAGGTTCAAATGTTATAATTGATAGTGTGAAATGGGAAGAAAATAACCAAAGGGGAAGTGAGAAGGAGAGGGAAAAGGAAATAAGGGAAAAGAAAAATTGTGAAAAAAGGAAAAAATGCAAAATCTTTGTAAATAGGGACAGGTGAAGGGGGAATCCCAGGGTTGAAGGGGGTGAAGGGAGGGCAGGGATATGGGGAAAAAACAAGAACCAAGATATATCCTGTAAAGGTACAAGATCCCAATAATAAATGTAACCGTATTGTTTGCTTTAAATGTACCAATAAACTTAATGGGGGCGGGGGAAAGAGTAACACAGAGATATTCCAAGGTAACTTTTAAGATGACGTATAGACAAGTATGAATACCATACAAACAGAACAATGATAATCGCTATAGTTCTCTAGGCCCTGGAAATTATTCCGTGTACAAAAAACCTGCCACTCTGAAACAGCTACTTTGGCTTGGCCCACCTATCCTTTATGTTTTCAACTTGTAGTGTTTTTGCACTTTGCATTAAATTGTGCATTTATTTTCATCATTTTTTCTGGGTTTTTTTTTTCTTTTTTCTTGTTTTTTGTTTTTTTGTTTTTTTGAGACAGGGTCTCACTACATAGTTGAGACTGCCCTGGAACTCACTGTGTAGCCCAGGCTGGTCTCAAACTCACAGCACTCCTCCTGCCTCAGCCTCCCAAGTGCTGAGATTATAGGCATGTGCCACCAAGCCCGGCTTCATCATTTTTCTGTTCCTTGACTGTACTCCTTCATCAAGAACCCAAGGACAGAAGAACTTTCATTCCAGCCCACTAACTCTTTGACCTCAAGGTTTTAAATGTCACCACAGAGTTCAAAGAAGCTCTGATTCCTTCCTGGTGTAAGCTAAAAAACAGTGTGAAATAATAGTATTGAGTGATTACAAAGGATATTTCCTAACATAAAGAAGTACTTGAACATGTTTGAGTGAAATGTTTTAACAAGAGTCAATTCTGAAAACATTCTAGGGAGACATAAACCACGGATTTGAACTTAACTTAGTATGACAACTGGAGGCTGCACTGGTCAGCTTTCCCATACTGGAGCCAAATACTCCACACTCGAAACTTAAAGGTCAAAGTAGTTCTTTTGGCTCCTAGTTGCAGGGATTTGGTCCATAGATGGCTGGCTCTGAGAACGAAACATCATGGTGGAAGTGAGGGGCAGAATAAAGCTCCTGGGTTCACTGTGGTCAGGAAGCAGAGAAGGAGAACAGTGCCACAGAGGCAGGCACTGGACGCAGAACCCAAGGCCATGACTCCATGACCCACCCAGCCACATCCAGAAGTGTGCTTTTCTAACCCCAGGCAGCTTCCAACCAATTAGTTGACAATTAAGCTAATCGTCACAGACATTTATCTTTTTATCTCTGTTACAAATAACAGTTTGTGTCCCCCAAAAGAACAGGTATTCAGGTTAGAAGATCAAAATCTGTTCCTTCTTGTTACCCAGAACCTTCTCTCAGAGAATTTTGGCCACTTAATCTATGTCTCTTCACATAAGTAGCAACTCTTATAGTTCGGAGATTAAATATAACAAAAGTTATAGCAGTGATTAGCTCTGGGGCAGGAATCTAGCGCCTGGAGCCACTGGTGAGAGGGAGAGATAGCCTTCACTGTGCCTTTTATAGCTTTGTAATTTTGTACTACAAGCACACACTAGCTGATGAAAACAAATGAAAGCATTTAAAACTATGTTTTTCAAAATATTAAAATAGTCTTTCTAATAATATTACCATAGAAACAACCCATTCCATATCTCAGGTTACATTTATGTTTAAATATTTTTCCATCTAACTACTCTTGCAACACAATATTGTCCCTCTACACCAAGCTCAACATGCTCAAGAAAGAAATCTGAAATTATTTTTTTAAAAAAAAACAGTGAATAGGCTGAAATACACTTGTACTGTTTTTTAAAAAGGAAGAAGTCTGGTGACCCCAGGGTGCCCATATCCACCCATCCTGTACCCAGTGCACATCGGCAATGTTATACCCTACGATGCCAGTTGGTGTCGCCATAGCATCTGCTCCAGTAACAAAAGGAGTGGTGGAAACACACACGCAAAAGGAGATACTGACAAGGTAAAAAGGAGAGACACGACAAGCCCAAAAAACGTTCTAGGGTAACTCAGAGATGACTTCTCTTCCGAGTTGATAAAGTAGGCCAAACTGCTGAAAATGGAACGGGTGAATGAGTCCCCTGAAGTCCATTGTAAATATGCAGATGAGTTATACTCAGATAACATAGTGTTGTTCATTGAACATATTTGATAGTTTCATATACATATTCAGGATGGGAAGAGCATACCTAACTAGTGACTGACCCAGTTACTGTCAGCAAAAGGCTTCAAAAAGATTTCTTTACAGAATAAGGCGCTTCTGTGTATAGAGAAACTCACACTACGAAACTAGATAGCAAATAGTTTGTCAAGCTCTACAGATTCAGCAACACCTTAATCGCCCACTGCAGCGAAACTTTATGCCTATGTTATTTGCTTTTTCCCCTGCTCAGTTTGATTTTTGCATTGATTCATCATTTTTTCTGAGGCCACACCCCAAAAAAATTTATACATGGAAAGGTACCCAGGGTATCTTCCCAAAAGAATTAAAAGAATCATGTCACAGTGATATATGGTCATCCATGTTTATAGCAGCAGTTTGTAATAGCTGAAACTTGGAAACAACCCAATTGCCCCTCAACTGGAGACTGGATAAAGATGTGGTTTTTCTATAAAATGGAGTACTACTCAGCCATAAAGAATGAGAAACTGGAGACATTTATAGCTAAGTGGATGCACATTGAGGCCATACTCAACTGAAATAAATAGGACACACGTGTAAATACTGGATAGTTTCTCTGGTGTGAAAGACTACAAGCACAAATAATGATCAAAATGTATAAATGATATTGTGAAATAGGAAGAAAACATCTAAAGGAGTAGGTGAGGTGGGAGAGAAGGAGAAAGGAAAGAAGGGAAAAGGAAAACACAGAAACAAAGTCTTTGTAACTAGGGAAGGGTGGAGGGAGTGAAGGGAGGGCAGGGGTATGGGAAAAAAATAAGAACCAAGATACATCACGTAAAGGTACAAGATCCAATGATGAATGTAGCTGTATTGTATACCTAAAATGTACCAATAAGCTTAATGGAAAAAATTTATACATAAAAGAGTTTTCTAAGCATTTACTTTTTAAAGAATCCTGATTATGACTAGTCTAGATATTTGATATAGTCAGTTCTCTGAAATTTTCTTCAAGATTGTTTTACTAGCTGGATGTGCTGGTACACATCTGTAATCCCAGCATTCTGGAAGCCTGAGGCAGGGGGGACTTGTAAGTTGAAGTCTAATCTGAAAATTTTATACCAATTTAGTGAGATCTTATCTCAAAATTTCAAAAACTATATTTTTAAAATGCTATTGATACAGCTCAGTGTGAAGATCCTGGGTATCTGAAAAAATAAAATATGATTTTTTTTATTACTCTTGGCTTTGCATTTCCATATAAAGTTTAGAATTTCCTGGAATTTCCAGTATCTGCCTAAATTTTGAATAAGAGTGCATTGAATTCATGGACAAATTTGGGGGAATTGATATCATTATAATTTGAAGATTTTCAATCCACAAACATGATGTATTATTCCATTATTTTAGGTCATCTTTAATTTCTCCATGATTTACAAGTATTTTCTACAGCTTTGTTTATGTTCATTAAATCTATCCCTTGGCATTTAATTATTTTGGTGATATTGCAAATTATATATATTTTTTTTCTTTTTCTACCGGGGATTGAACTCAGGTCCTGCGCTTGCAAGGCAGGCAGCAGAACCACTGAGCTAAATCACTGGCCCTTACATTTTTCTGATATTGTTTTTTGAGATTTTTGTTTGTCTGATTGTTTTTTTGAGACAGGGTCTCACTATGTAGTTCAGACTGCCCTGGAACTCACTGTGTAGCCCAGGTTGGTCTCCAACTCACAGTGATCGTCCTGCCTCAGCCTCCCAAGTGCTAGGATTACAGGTGTGTGCCACCACACCCAGGCACATTTTTCTGATTTTACTTTTTCTGATATTGTACATGCTTTTATCTTATTTTCTAATTGCTGGTATCTAGTATGTAGTACTGATATTTGTGTGTTGACCTAATAACCCAAATTTATTTATTAATTCTAGAAATAACAGAGCTTTTTAAATTTTCTGCATTTATAGGCATATCTTTTCTTTTTCTTGCCTTATTTCACTGGCTACGTGCAGGGAGCATAATGTGCTGTAGATCACTATGGCGCGGCCTAACTCGTCTCCTCCTGCAGAGGGCGTGGTGGAGCAAGGCCTGGGAGAAGAGGACTGTCTTCCTCCCCACCATTCGTCAGAGAAACAAGTGTTATCTCCTGCAGACCCTAGCCATTCTCCCTGTTCCACTCAGGCATCCCCTTTTCTCCACTATAAATTCACTGAGGATGAAAGCCAAGCTTTTTGTCTCATCAGGACAAAGAGCTTCCACCTGGCCTCAGCTATGCAAACTTTACTGTCCTGTTTGTCTTCTTTGTTTTACTCTTTAAGTTTCTTAATCTCTCACCTTCGTTTCTCACTCCGTGAACCCTTTGGCCACGCCAGCCATGGCAGCTAAGTTCTCTAGAAAAATGTTGGCAAGAGCTGAGCATGTTGGTGCCTGCCTGTAGCTCCAGATACTTGGAGGGGGGGTGCTGAGACAGGAAAATCACTTGAGTCTAGGAGTTCAAGGCCAGCCTGGGCAGTATACTGAGACCCTGTCTCGGTCAGTCAGTCAATCAATCAATCAAATAGTATTCTCAGCATAGGGCTGTGTTGGAGATCAAGGGCAATCATGTATTTAAAGGCAACTTATAAAGAGTAAAGATAAATACAAAATAAAATATTAGTGTTGTTTTTAAAACTGTTTTCAAAAATGAAAATATAAACTTCTGACTAGAAGTGGGGGCAGCAACCTCCTTATCTCATTCCCAAACTCTAAAGCAAAGCTTTCAATTTCTCCATCAAAAAATTGTTTTGTGTAGTTTTCCAGAAGATACAATTTATCATAGTAATAGATTTCATCTTATATAAGTTTGAATGTCATCAGGTTCTTTTTACAAAGCTGTGACTCTCTTCTCTCTCTCTCTCTCTCTCTCTCTCTCTCTATCTCTCGACTGAGTTACACTGATTACTTGAATATCCATGATGTATTTTTCATGAATAGCTAAGATTTGCTAATATCTTATTTTGGATTTTTGAACGCATGATAATGAGAATGGCCGCCTTATAATTATCCTTTCCTCTTATATTTGTATCAGATTTTTGTATCAAGGTTATAATGCACGCAGAGTTAAAGAACAGCCCACAGGATCAGCCCACTTCTGACACTAATTGCAAGTCCAAGGGCTCTGAAGGTCACCTTGGGGTCCAATAGCTCCCTAGAGGGCTCATGGAATTCACAGAGAACAGTTACGCCAGTGGGTGTGTTATTGCAGCTAAGGGATTGAGTTTAAAATCAGCCACAAGAAGGGATCCGTCGGGCAGATTTCAAGAAAGTTCCACACATAGAACTCTCAGTTGTCCACTCCCCAGGCATAGACTGTGTCATTTGGATGGCACTGATGTGTGTAATGCTCTGAGTCCTGTCACTCAGGGACCCATGTCCAGAGTGTGTTGGAGTTCGAGGAGTTAAGCCTGGCAGGAAGTGTCAGTCTCCCAGCCAGAGTGCAAGCCAATCCCGTCGTTCTGTTGGGGCCTTACATGAGGCTACAGATGGTGGCTGGGGTCTGGATAACTCTTAGGGCTTAGCCAGGCATGGTGACATGTGCCAGTAATCCCAGCACTTGGGAGCTGATGCAGGAGAATTACCTCAAGTTAAAGGCCAGCCTGGGCTGCATAGTGAATTCAAGGATAGCCTGGACTTCATAGCAAGACTCTGTCTCAAAAGAGAAAAATGATGTTTCTCCTCTCACGTGGCTGATGTTGTGGTAGAAGACTGAAGGAACTGGACAAGGGAGGATGTAGGGCTTCTTGGAATCTTCTCCTTCTGTGTGTTCCTTTCACATGGTGTCCAGCACTGTGGTGTCATGAGAGTTGGTTTCACGGTACAGTGAAACAGGCGTCTGAAGGCATCACCGGGATTTCATCTTAAAAAGAAAACCAAGCGGAAGCTGTATATTTTTTTATGACACAATCTCAAAAGTCAGGTAGTGTCACTTCTGCCAAATTCTGGACATTAAAAATGAAACTGGACCTGGGGACACACACCCGAACTCTCACTACTCTGGGAGGCTGAGGCAGGAGGATCACAAGTTCAAGCCTGACCTGGGCAACACAGTGAGACCCTATTTCAAAATTTTTGTTTGTTTGGTTTTGGGGGGTTCTGTTCATTTATTTGCTTTTTGTTTTTTGATACAGGAACTTGGTATGTAGTTCAGGCTGCCCTTCAACTCACTATGTAACCCGAACTGTCCTCAAACTCGCAGCATTTCTCCTGCCTCACTTTCCCAAATGCTGGGAATATAGCCATGGGCCACCTCACCTGGCTCAAAAACAAAAATAAAGAAGGTTAAGGATGTAGCTTCATGCAAAGGCCCTGAGTACAATTCCCAGTACAAAAAAAAAAAAAA